CCCCCAGAGATGCCGCTCTCAGCGCTTTAATGGGCTGAGCTGGGTGCCGGGCGCCAGCTGCGCTTTGGAGTCATTGGCGCCCCCCCCCCTCTCGTGCTTGGCCCTCCAACTTGCACTTGCAACAAGTGGCACCTCATTTGTTCTCGCGTCCGGTCCAGGTGCTGGACTCCACGGTCAGCGACCCCTTCATCAAGAACTGGATGAACCTGCTATGCTTCCTGCTGTCAGGCCTACCCGCAGACGGCACCATTGCGGCAGAGGTGGGTCGCAGGTTGGGGGCGCAAGGGGCGGAAGTTGAGGATTGTCGGGGCTGATTAGGGCGCCGCGTGGGGTGGCGGTGCAATTTGGGTGCTAGGGGTTGGCCGGGCAAGGGTTAACGAGGAACGGGTTTGAGTGCAGAAGGCAGGTGGATCTGAAGAGGTTGATGACGTGCGGTTTCAGGTGCTGAAGGCGGTCGGACTCCGAAGATCAGCTGAAAGTTGGAGGAGCAGCAGGGTGTCAGAAGGGCGGTTAGCAGATGTGGGCACCCTGCCACCACGTTTACGGCTCTTGCTGACACCATCCACATACAGCACCGCCTCCCACACTCTCCCCCCCCCCCCACGAAACCTGATGTGGCTGTAAAACCATTCGAATCTCCACGACAGGTGGCCTTCATGTTTAACGAGTGTGAGCAGTTGTGGCGCCACAACCGCGTGATTTCTGGTGTAATGACCTTCCCCGAGCCCGGTTGACTATGGGTTGACCCGCGTTTGACTGCCGCTTTCCTCGCTCCTGCCTGATCTCCTGCTCTTCCCACTTTTCAGTTTGTCTCTCTCGGCCGCCTTGCTTTTTCAGTTGATGCCGCCTTCACGTCGGGCAAAGCCTGGTCTCGCCCTAACCACAACGCAACACGCGAACACACCCACCACAAATCACCAGGGTATCGCCCAGAGTGCAAGCTGGACTTTCCCATTGGCGGCAGCCAGGCCATGGTGGCTGCATTGGTCAGGTTTGTGTAGTTGTAGGAGGGGCTTTGGGGTGAGGAGTGGAGTGAAACTGGGATTGAGAGGTTGCATGCGTGCGTGCGTGCGTGCGTGTGTGCGCGCGCGCGCGCGCGTGTGTGTGTGTGTGTGTGTGTGTGTGTGTGTGTGTGTGTGTGTGTGTGCGCGCGTGTGCGCGCG